GAAATGCAAATCAAAACCACAATGAGATACCATCTCACACCTGTTAGAACAGCTATAATCAACAGGACAAGTAATAACAAATGCTGGAGAGGACGTGGAGAAAAAGGAACCCTCATACACTGCTGGTGGGACTGCAAATTGGTACAGCCACTATGGAAAACAGTATGGAGGTTACTCAAAAAACTAAGAATTGATCTACCACATGATCCAGCAATCCCTCTACTGGGTATTTACCCCAAAGACTTGATAACTCATGTCCATAAAGATATTTGCACACCAATGTTCATAGCAGCATTATTCACAGTGGCCAGGACATGGAAGCAACCAAAGCATCCTACGATAGATGACTGGCTAAAGAAGCTGTGGTACATATATACAATGGAATATTACTCAGCCATAAGAAGAGATGAAATACTGCCATTTGCAACAACATGGATAGACCTCGAGATAATCATGCTAAGCTAAATAAGCCAGACAGAAAAAGTTGAAAATCACACGATATTACTTATATGTGGGATATAAACCTAAAAGCAACGGAGGAATAGGACAAACAGAGACATGGACTATAGACCAGTGGTTACCAGAGAGTATGGGGTGGGGGAGAAGAGGGGAGGTAGACAGGGTAAAGGGGGTCAAATATAGGGAGGTAGGGGAAGGGTGAAGTGGGTAAAGGGGATCAAACATATGGCAGCTGAAGGAAACTGGACTTTGCGTGGTAAACACACAATAGAATATACAGATGTCAAATGATAATGTACACCTAAAAATTATATAATTGTATCAACCAATGTTACCCCAATAAACTTAATTTAAAAAAATTTAAAATAAGCCATAAATTATTCTTTTAAAATGAGTATCTAAAGAAATGTAACTGAAACCAAGATAGCAAAATGCTGACTTCCAGTTCCAACCTGATATAGTATATGGTATCAGATTTACTCCTGCCATAAACAATAATAACTTCACAAAATATATAAAATAATTGTTACCAGGCTTAGAGAGCAAAGAACACAAAAACTCAACCAGAGAACAATGGTCTTTACAGAAGGACAAGGCACGAAGCAGAGTTCAATGCTAAAGATTCTGGGATTTGGGGAGCAGGGTTATAGAGATGGATGAGCCTTAGGGAGGAAACCCAGAGATATAACACTCAGATATCTATGTGGAAATTGGATCTCTGGCTAATTACTGAACTTCAGAATGAAGGGATTCCTAAAAGCTGGGAGAAAACGACATATTGGGAAACTAAGAGCCAAGGCTGAGAGGAAATGCCAGATATCAGACGGTACTGGTGATGTTGGATTTTGGGCCAAGTCAGAGTGGAAGACATAGGTGAACATACCAAACATGTATCAGAACACCAGAAAGGACACCTATAAGATTATCTACCACACTCTAGGAGTAAGGGGAACACTAAAATAGGTCTGCCATAATAAGCTCAAACCAGGTCTTAACAGAATCAGAGTGCCCTTCAGCAATTTAGCTGACCGTCAGGACAAAATTAAACACTCTTTAGAACACTATAACAAAATCCGGAGTAAATCTATTATTTATAATGTCTGGCATGTAATAACAAAATTACTTAATACAGCACCCCAAAACTATAAGAAGTGACTGATTATCAATAAAACAGTGACTAGAAGCAGATTAGAGCTGATTCATATCATTTGATTTAGCAGACTAGGACTTCAAAATAACTAAAATTAATATATTAAAAAGAGAAAAAGATGGACAAACTGGATGGAAAGATAGAATATTTGAACTTAGAATTCAAATGTACAAAAAATATTTGCCTGGGAAACCTCTATCTCATCAGGTCTATAACACTGTACTCAAGGGCAGGGCAGTGGTGTGAAGTAGGCACACACTTGAGAGTGTCTTGCCAAGTCCTTTCTGCCCCTGTTCCATAGCCGAATGCTAATTAAAGCGTAATCACTCCTCAGGGTTCACTGGCTCTTTATATTACCCCATTTGCTAAAAGGTAAGGCCAAGTGCACCACCGCTTGCTCCATGAATCCTTTAGAAGTTTTCATGCCCCTATATAACAATATAGCCACATATCAGTAGATCAGATTTAGAAATGGATCATATGACCTATGAAAGTGGTATACAGAAACTCAGTAAGCAGTTCCTCTTCTTGGGAAAGAAAAAGGCAAATGGTATCCAGAAAGACATGTCCTAGGGAAGAGGCCGAAAGTGCTGTCAGCAGAGTCTGCAGGATGTTAGGTTTGAAAGCGATCCACGGGCAACAAATTCTGTTTTAAGATGGAAGGGACCACAGACTAGAAAGGTCAAGTGGCTTGCAAAAGGTCTTATAGATAATTAAGAGGCAGAGCCGGGACACTAAACGCTGGCTCCCTGATTCCAAATGCAGAGATTTTTCTCATTTCCTGACCAGAGCATATGTAGAAATCAACACATGAAAATTACGACATATGGGATGACTCTAACATTTTTAATTGATGCTCATTTCTTTCAAATTCTGACCTCTACTTAGATGTTTATACAGTTATATCTGCATTACACTCGATTTTGTTTTCTCTTGTTTTAATAGCCCTAGGTATTGATAAAAATACTGCAGCTATTTACCTGTGGTCTGATTCCAGTTTGACAAAATGAGTAGAAACAGAAAAGTAACCGAAGCTGCCTACTGTCTAAAAATCTGTATTTTCCTCACTTCTGACAAGGTAGCTACCTTGGAATTCATCTTTTCATCTTTTTTTTTCTATTGCTACTGCCTCCTCCTGTCTCCTGATCAGGCCTCAGCTCTCCCTTTCCAACTCACACTTTTCCTGGCTGCCAGACACTTTTCTAATGATCCTTACCATGTCTCTCCCTGCTTCGCACAAGTCTTTGGTTCCCTCACATCTTCAGGATAAAGTCTATTCAACATGCCCACCAGCCTGGCTCCAGCTCACCTACCTTCCTACCTTTCAAGCTTCTCTCTATGCATAATCCCCACATTCACCTTCTTCTCCAGTTACCTGAAAAAGGCAAAACCTGTGCCTTTGAACCTGCTGTTCTCATTGTTCATCTCTGTTAAAATCCTACTAGCTCTTTTAGATACAGCTCAAACGGTCCCTCTTCTGTGACGTCTTCTCCAATGATTCCCAAATTGGAATCATTCTCTCTTTGACACTCTATGCCCTTCCTTTATATGTATCTAGTGGCCTTTATATAATTTTCAGTGTTATGGTTATAAATGCATGTATTTGTGGCCTTTAGCACCAGAACACAATCTGACTGAAGGCAGGGCTTGTCACCCCTGTATCTAGCATGATACCAGAATAAGTGATTGACTGTCTAAAGTTAAAGAGGAAAAGCCTTTTCGAATACAGAAAGAAGAAATATAAACATCAGCCAACTTGCCATAAACACAGGTGCCTAGAAGGGATGACAGAGACAGAAATCGAATGGCATAACCAGAAGGCCAGGGCTGTAGCACGGTGGTGTCTGATGTTCACAATGGTTATTCTGCTGAAAGGCCATTTTCTCCCACGGTGTCTGCCCACTTTCTAGGGGACTGTGACTGAAACTACTGAGACAAGGCCACGGGAGGGATGTGGCTTACTCGGTTTTGCAGAGTAGCATGCCTAAGTATAGCTGGTGTGGTAAATCAGTGGAGAGCCTCAGTAACTAGCTTCTCCAAAGGAGCTTTTTTCTTACCCCTAAGAAATTTCAACTTCAATAGGTCTGAGGTCAAGTCTTGAGTTTATTTTGAAGGAAAAACAAATTTCTAGGTGACTTTAACACTCCACTCTCCAAAGTGAAAACCTGAAGTAGACCAACATACTGTCTTGCAGATAAATACCCACTTTTATGAATCGTGAATTCCTACAATGGAAAGAGACCCAACCATTCGTTCAGCGTGTTGATCAATGAAGGATGTAGAGACAGTGAGAACAGAAGAGGCTCAAATCCTCAAGATCCTCAAATCCTTCAAAGATGTGTATTGTGGGCACAGGGATGTTTGTTGGGGCGTTATTTGTATCAAAAGCTTGGAAACAACCTCAATGTCTTTCAGCAGCAGAACAGATGGATTTTCAAATATGTATACAATAAAATACCATGCCGTGGTGAAGATAGCTGAACTGCAGCTACATGCAGCAACACAAATAAATCTCAAAAATATACTTGAGCTAAAAAAAAAAAAAGCAATTTGTAGAAATACATATACAACTTGACACCATCTATATGAAGTTTTAAAATACGGAAAACAGTGAGAAATTGATAACAGTCTAAAACCTCAGTTTTAAATCCCTGTGGGCTTCTTAGGCCACTGCAGTGTCATGGAAAGAACCCTTGGGAGATGGCTCAAGGGACATATGGCTGGCTATGAGCTGTGCCACTCAGCCAAGTCTAGCATCAGAGTTTTCTTTGTAAAGTGAGAGGTTTGGATCCCTCAAGTAAATCCCTTTCAGCTCTGAAGTCGTTGGCACCACAAGCCATACCCAAAAGGCTATCAGTTCTGGTTCTCACCACAGAGGAAACCTCAAGGATCAGGTGCCTCTTGCCTTAAATTCCAACTGAGGGGTCTCACCGGTGTCACGGTAAATAAGTTATTTATTAAGAGTGCTGCACAGAAGTGCTCTCCCACACTTCTGAGTCACAGTGAAAACAGGAAGCCCACACCTATTTCTTCTGAGGACCATCCCGTGTACCCACCACCTTCCACCAGCTGTAAAAACGCCTTCATGAAATCCCCACAGAGCCAAGGCCAAAGGGCTGCTCCATGCGGGTGGGGCAGGACGCAGGGGCAGGAAGCACACAGGCTGCTTACCCGCAGGAAGATCAACAGCGGGGTGGGACAGTCCAAGGAAGAAACCATCGAAGAAATCTGCCCTGAGAGAAGGCATTTCCTAAGTAGTCTCCTGGCCCCCAGGCGTTCTGATTTCATTTATCCAGTGATGGCACAATGCTAAGACTGAGCACAGGACAGAGAGTTTAAAATTTAAAAAAAACCCAAGAGCATGTTTTTAAGATAGAATATGTAAGTATGTAGTAGAAGATTCAAAAGCTAAGCCTCCTGGTCCTGACCCCAGCCAAGCAGTCCTCCTCCCCAGTAGTAACCTCTGTTCTCAATTTCTAGTATATTCTTTAGAGACAGTTAATGCATGTAAAGCATATAAACATATAAGCACACACGAGTTTAAAAAAACATGCTAAAATTGTTCTGTACCTTGTTTTTTTTTGGTAATATTTGTTAATTTTCTTTTGAAAAGTTTCAAACTTAGAGAAGAACTGAATAAGCACTCCTATACAATTTACATAAATACGCTAATATTTTCCCACATCTCTCTTAACATATGTCCCCCTCAACCACTGAAAAGTACACTGCAGACATCAATGACATTTATTTTCTGAATCTATTAGCATATATATCCCCTAAGAATAAGGACATTCTTCTACATAACATTCTCCACAATAACATCATCATACCTCTGCAAATTTACACTAATTCAATAATATAATCTAACATGGATTCCATATTTAAATCTCCCCAACTACCACAAAAAATGAAGCTTGCTTTTTAAACTCAGCATTCTGTCTTGGAGATTTTTCGGTACCATTCAGATAGAAACTCCTCATTTTTTTTTTTTTTTGACAACTGAATGATAATAACATCCAACATCTATTAAGTGCTTACTATGTATCAGGCACTTTTCTAAGATTTTTCTTCTGCCATTCCTGAGTTAACTTTCTTGTTCCTTTCCTAATTTTGTAAGTTCAATGCAAAATTTCTTCTATTTTATTTATTTTTGTTATTCACATAAGAACTTAGATTAGTGAATTTTCCTAAGCACTGCATTAGCTATATTGAAAAAATATTTATGTGTAGAATTTTGATATTACTTTCTCGATAGTCTACAGTTTTAATTTTCTCATTGACTCAAAAAGAGTTTTTAAAAGTTTTTGAATTTTTATTTTTCAGCTATATTACATAGTGATCAGATATGTTTCTTGTGCTATTTCTACTTTTTTGGGGATGCACTGTAGTTTTCTCAGTGTCATACCATACGGTCAATTTTTGTGGCAATTGAAAAGAAGGTTTATCAATTAATCTACCTTATTAAGGAAACAGCAGTTTTAAGTCTCTACTTTCTTCCCCAAAACTAAATTCAATATGAAAGAATTCAAATATTTTTATATTTTTGGCATGGGGGTTTGAGTCATTTCATCCTCCCCACTGTCATGCGATTGTGTTTATACTGGTCTCGCATTGCATGTGGTTGCTACTGAATTAAAGAACTTTGGCAATGGAAGGGAATTTATAGGGCACCTAAGCGAACCTCCGCTCAGAATAGGAATTTTCTTTATAGCACCCCCGAAAGACGTTCAAACGAATTTAATTTGAATTACTGCTGTGCAAAGGCACTCAGCACATTGCTCAAATTGTGGCATTTGTGGCCTCTATCGGGAGGTCAAGGATTTATAAATAAATAAGGTATTTACTGGCTACCTACCATAAGGACTGCATTACTCAATGCACTTTGGGGAACACATGATAGTACACCTGTGCTCTGGAGCTGTGGTTCCCAAATTGCGTGCCTCAGTGCCTCAGGGCACTGCAGTGAATTTTATCCATAGGACATTTTAAATTTTTGAGGGAAATGACAAGATACACAACCTGTCAGGCACTACAGAAACTACTAGATCAAGGTAGTTTACAGCTTCGACATTAGTTTGTGTTACATTCTTTTGATGATCTCATATCTTTGCGAAACTGTTTTTGGCAGTTGTTTTATAAAATCAACATAGAACAAGAAAGGAGTGTGACAGGTTCCCATCTGATTCAAAGGTTTGGGAAGCTGTGCAGTGTCCAACAGGAGCAGATATCCTATTAGTAAATAACTGTGGTGATTTCAGAATAAAGCAATGATATTTTCTTTCAATTTAGGTGTAGTATTTTTTTTTTTTTGACTAGCTATTTAATTGTTAGGACATAAGTACTTATTAAGTTGCTTGGTTCTAACTACTTAATAAATGGAACTACTATGTATTTCTTTTGGCCTAGAGGACACTGTGAAATAATTCTGGAGACTCCAAGAATTGTGAGTCTCCAGAATTTCTCAGTTCACTGTGAACTGAGAAAGTCTGAGAACTTCTCTAGAAGCTCACAGCTGAGTTTGAGACCAGAAGTCACGACAGTGATGCAATCAGGATGTGAATGGTCAGGCTTATACACTCTCATAGAATCAGCAGACATTTCAGGAGTTCATAATAGAAGGAATACAGTCTAGGACAGAGTCAAACAAGTGGGACTGGCCCAGTCACTGTGAGGTAGGAAGGGCTAAACCACAGACAGGAGAAAAGGCCTTTACAAGAGCAAAGAGAAGTGGGAATGAATATGGCTTGTTTTGGAGACAGTGAGGACACTGGTCTGGCCGGGGTGGGGATGGGGGCTTTGGAAGTGAGCTGAAGAGTCTGGTGCTTTGATCTGGGGGCAATGGGGAAGGTGTTTAGTCACAGGAGTGATACAGTAAAAACCAATGTCTTGTAGATTAATCCCGGTGGGGGTAGTGGATATGGACTGAGGGGCGAAGAGGTAGGAAATTATGTCGCCTGAAAAGGCGATGCACCTACACAGTACAAACCTGATATAACAGAAAGTAGGTGTCAGTCCCCTCCTTCAGCAGCCACACTACACGGATCCACACTGAAAAGTTCCCCAAACTATAGTCCCTGATAACAGGAATCGTAGCCCTTCATTATGTGCTTAGAAAACTGCTGTTTTTGGATTCTAACTGGGGCACACTGAAATCAAGTGTTTAGAAATTCTGCGTGGAGACAACAGCCTTGCTTCTAGGAAAGTATATGAAAAAGAGGTTAAGCATAGAATAGGAGAGAAATGTGCTGGTCTGAGAGTCAGGAGACTTGGAGTTAAATCTTAATTTGACCATGAATTCACCAAAGAGTGGTCCTAGGCCTTGGCTTCTTCACTCTGAAAATGAGGGCTCTATGTGAGATGAGAATAAACACTAAATGCCAAAGGCGGCTCACATCTACCCAATGAGTTAAGTCCAATCTTTTTGTGTAACTGGTAAGTAGAGCCAAAATTGTGGTTTTAATATTTCATTCCAATTTGCATGAAGCATTTATATCAATAAAGGGCTCTATATTATTAAAATATCATAATCTGAGCTCCTGTAAACCATTATTATTATAACAGCGGTAAATATATACAACAGACTAGAATATTGGCAAAGACTTCTGGGGAACAAAAATCAGCCTCATGTACAAAGTCGTCCCATGATGATGGCTCACGGACACCATTTTAAATAAAAATTAAGCAACTGATCTGCTTCGTGTCTCGAGGGAACAAACAAGCTCTGTACAACCCAAATTAAGACAGAGTAGGAGCAGCCAACTTCGATGGGGTAAAGACTGGAAAATCAGGGAGCAGAATAACAGACTTGGAACTTGAAATAATTATGAACACAAGAAATACCTCCCAATAAAAGCTGCATCAGAAAGGACATGAAAGTCCTACAGATTTTTGTTTATTTTATTTTAATTTAAGCAATAACAGTTTTATGTTTCCTTTCTGGCTTCAGAAGGAATGATAATGCATCCTATAGAATTAGCCCATAAAGCATTCCTGATTCTTTACTCAAACTGGATATAAGATCAAATGAGACAGTTTTGGGGCCCCATACAGTGATGGGATTATTAAATGTCAAGACTTAGTGATGAGTCACAGAAGAGGTCTCTGGCTTTTTAAATGGCCCCAGGATAGCCCTGAAAATGTCTTTTTAGAAGCACTGGTCTAGTGGGGGCACGAAGCTCCAGCCTCAGCAGCACCCAGAGAAGACCAGGATAAACATGGCCATAGCTACCCTCTAAACACAGGTTTGTGTCACAGCTTTCGCTAGGATAGCGGGGTTGTGTGTGTTTTACAGAGGAGGAGGAGAGGGGGTGGCATGGGAGGAGGAAGAAAAAACATTCTCTCATCCCTGGGAAACTTGCAAAATGACTTCCTTCCATGAGTTTGCTCAAATGAAATCTCCACCTCCCACCCTGCTTACAGGTCAGTGAACCCATTCACTGATTAGGAAGTGACCCACAAGCATCAGTGTGAAGAGAGGGGTGCGGTGGTGGAAACACTTGGAGAGAATGCAGTATCCTGTTTAACTTGGCCTTGCCAATGCCAAACCCTTTCTCTGTGAATGTTTCTTTAGTTAAAGAACGATAATGTCCTCCTTCCAATGGCTTTGCCTCTCATGAAATGGGCTATTCGCCATACATAAAAAACCACTCTCACTGCATCACTTAACCTCTCTCGCATTAATCTCCTTGTCTGTGAGACAGGGAGAAAGTCTTAATTTACTTACATTATAGGGCTGTTGTGTGGAAAATGCCTGGAAATAAATGTGTGACACACTTACAAAAGGTAATACAATACAGTGTAAGTCCTTGCAGTGCAAATGAACCGAGTTAACACCACCGTATACAGTTTGCACCTACTGGCCATTCAGCTAAGGAAAAATAAAGGGTGAATGTGGGAAGTTAAATAAAATTAGATAAAGTGTGCTGTGGCCAGAGCTAAGGAAGAGCTCTCTAGAGCCACATTTATGAACAATGCAAAACAAAACTTGGTATCTATGGCTGTGAGAATGATGGCCACCAGGAACGATGACTTGAAGTTTCAAATATGACTGCAGGTGAATAAATAAGGCTACTTCCTCATGTCCTAAAAAGGTACCTCCCCCCCAGTCTTCAGGAATTGCCTGTGGCCCTTCTGTAGCAGAAATAGCTGTTGATTTTGGTCTGAGCATGGTCACTTTTTATTGACCAATAGAACAGGGAGCTGCTGACATCTCCAAGGTTGTTGGGTTGGGGTCTCTGTCACCCTGCTTCCTTGTATGAGACTATGTGAGAGCCAAGGGTGTCCAAGGACTTCAGCGCCCCATCTCTCCTTAGGAT